GGAGGAGGAGGAGGAGGAGGAGGGAAGGAGGAGGAGGAGGAGGAGGAGGAGGAGGAGGAGGAGGAGAAGGAGCAGGAGGAGGAGGATCGAGGACAGATGACGATTGGACGTGCTCGGCCCTTCTGGGCCTCCAGTAGCCGCAAAAGGGGGCAGAGGGAGGGGGGAAGGCTTCTTAGAAGGAGGCTGCTTCCTAGAAGGCGCCGGCCTCACATCTATGGATCATGGACCGCACCTTCTACGAAGCAGGGGTGCTTCTAAGAAGCCCTCCCCCCTCCCCCCACTCCCCCCTGCGCGTGGCTGATCAATCCAGACCCGGGTCAGTCAAGTCTTGCAGAATCCTGCAGGATCCTGCACCCAAGCCCGGGTCGATGCGGAGGATCCTGCCAGATCCTGCAGGATGCTGCACCCAAGCCCGGGTCAGTGCGACCCTGGCCCTGCAGGATCCTGCACGATCGGGCGCTCTGGCTGACTCCCGTTTGCGTTGACCCCCGTCTCAAGGCTCCCGACCTGGGATCCCCCCCAGGAGAAGGAGGAGGAGGAGGAGAAGGAGGAGGAGGAGGAGAACGTCCCGTCTGTGTTCCCATCCTCTGGGCCCCCTGGACGCCCACCTGGGGCCCCCACGGCTAGAGCGACAACCAGGGACGGACGGCTTTGCCTGGGGAAGGGGCCGAGTGCTCCCAGAGCCGACGTCACGACAGAGTCGTGGCATCTGAGGTCTGCCTCCCTCCCTCCCTCCGCCTCCCCCACGGCAGTTCTCTTCCTCGCCCTCGTCGTCGTCGTCGGCGTCGTCGTCCTCGTCCTCGTCCTCGTCCTCGTCGTCGTCGTCGTCGTCGTCGTCGTCGTCGTCGTCGCCGTCGTCGCCGTCGTCGTCGTCGTCGTCCTCCCTCTCGCGGGCAAGAGGAGGTGGCCGGAGGTGTGGAAGGCGGAAGCAAAAAGAGGACGACGAGATGTGAGTGGGACGTGGGAGGCGGCAGAAGCCGAATGGGGGTAGGAGGGTGGGGGCGGGCGGGGGAGGAAGAGAAGGAAGAGTGGGAGGAGGAGGAGGAGGAGGAGGAGGAGGAGGAGGAGGAGGAGGCAGAGGAGGAGGAGGAGAAAGCTCCGTCTCGCACCGTGTTCGTCCGTGGATCTCCGTGGAGCGTGCTCGCCGCGAGCCCCGCGCGCCTGGCGCCGCAGGCTTGAGCTCGCGGGGGCGGGCGCCGATCGCGAGCTGCCAGGGGCGCGCGCGCGCCGCGCCTCCGTGGAGGGCTCGTCGGAGCAGCGATCACAGGGCGCCGACCAGGTGCACGGCCTGGAACTTCTGCTTCGCGCGTGGCGGCAGCGGCCCCTGCGACACTTTTTGATCCGCGGGTCGAGAGCGCACCTCTTCCGGTCGGAGCTGAGCGGGCCGCGCGAAGCTCGAACTAGGCAGAGAGGAGGAGGGAGGGAGTGGCGGAGCCTCAGAGCGAGGCCGAGAGGAGGCACAGCCTCGGATACAGACGCCCCCCGCGACGCGCGGATCCCTGGCAGTCCACGGGCGTGCTGCGCCCTCCCCGCGGGGGGCGGGAGGCCGGGCACACCTCGGAGCGGCGGTCGCCCGGAGGCGGGGAGGTGGACGGCGCCCCGCGCCGAGGCGCGGTGGGCCAGGACGGGCGGTGCGGCACGCTGCTCAGAAGTCCCCTGCCGCATCACGCCCGGCAGGCATAGTCTCTCCAGAGCGGTATGGAACGACCGTCTGCGCCCGCGACGTAACACGGTATCGGCCTCGCTCCGAGGCTCCGCCGCTTCCTCCCTCCTCTTCCCTGCCTAATTCAAGCTTCGCGCGGCCCGCTGAGCTTCGACCGGAAGAGGTGCGCTCTCGACCCGCGGATCAAAATTGTTTGATGACTCGTCTCCCCACTACCTGTGTTCGGAAGCCCTCGGCCCTCGTGGAGCCCTGCCACCGTCCCACCGACCTGGACAACGAGCCCCAGAAAAACGTACGGGCTGATAGGTGCACCACCTTTCCTCGCGCTCGCTATTCAACTTGTCCCTTACACCGGCCGCCCTGCCTCACTCCCCTCGTCTCCCTTAAGCCGTCTCCCCTCCCTCCTCCCTCCGTGCCGCCTGCGTTGCCCTCCGTGCGCAGGGCGCTGGACACTTCCCGGGTCCAGTAGAGGCAGAAGATCGCGATGACGACCTGGCGCCCAATGCCGAGGCCCGCGTTAGGGCGGAGAAAGACCGTGGGAGCCCGTGGGCCAGGCCACGCGCGCAAGTACGAAACCGAGGCGGAGAAAGACCGAGGGAGCCCGTGGGCCAGACCACGTGCGCAACTACGAAACCCAGGCGGAGAGAGACCGAGGGAACACCCGTGGGCCAGGCCGCGCGCGCAAGTACGAGAGGCGCCCGGCGGTCCAAGGCGAGATCCTCTGGGGACGGTCCCGTGGACGGACGTCGCTACCAGGAAAAACCGACGGGCTGGGACAGCTGCAGTCCGACCTGGGCCAGAATACAGTCGGCCTTGATTGGACAGGACACGCGAGAGGACACAAGACCCTTCCGAAAGCCACATCGCCATTGGAGTGTAAGAAGGCACGTGTCGCGAGGCACAGGACACAAGGGTACCCTTGAGCTGGCAGGGTCGACCTGCTAATCTGGGCCGACTGTAATATCACTCAAGACTCAAGAACATGAGACCCTCCGCCGGCCAAAACACGCAGAGCATCCAAGGGTGCCCTCCCCAGGATGCACAATAAATTCCAGCAAACAGGAAGAGCATGTGGGTAGCCTCCCCGAACCGACCTCGACCTCATATTTCGGTCCGACTGTATGGGCAGGGACCCGCGGGCGAGACACCATGGGCGACTGCAGCATAAAGCCAGTGGTCAAAAGGCACTAGCAGAAAGGCGGAACCCCATGTGGGCGGCACCGAGCGGACAACTGCCGCAGGAAACATACGATCGGGGGCAACTATGGGCAGGACGCGGCGGACATGGCATGGCATAGCTGGGCCCTGTGCCCATTTGCAACTCCCAGAGAATCTGAGAGATCCAGGCGGGGGGGACTCCAGGCGGGACTTTGTTATGACTGGCGGAACAGGCTTGAACCCCTCCGCCCTGCGAGCCGCAGTCCCTGACCCAGACCGAAGGGAAAACAAACCTCTGATGGCTGCGCCTGGCCGCCTCCGTGGGCGGGCGCGTGCACGGCGACGACGCTGCAGTGCAGAGAGCGACAGGGTGAGGAGGAGGAGGAGGAAGATGAGGAGGACTATTGTCTCGGCCGTCGTTCAGGGCACGGGTAAAGTTGTACCGCCTCGTGCCCTAACAATGGTGCCGTGCTATGATCAAATCTATTTCTTTTGCAGCGGACATGAGCTCTCACATACTCGGTGTGATGCACACAGCTGCCATCCAGGCGATAGCCGCCCCACGTCTGTGAACACACGACTTGTAAACCACGCCGCGATCCCCCTTCCAGAGGAAAACGCCCCACGACTGTGAAGCACGTTTAGCTATCCTGCTCGTATCTTCCTCCCAAAGGAGGGCCGCCCCACGACTGTGAAGCACGAGCATATTCACTCGCATATCCTCGTATATGTCGCCCCACAACTGTAAAGTGCCGCACTGTGATCGAGAAGCAACGTGCAAACACCTGTCGAAGATTTTGATGTGTGGCAGGCTTCTGGTTATCTGTTTTTTCCTTGTTCTTGCCAAACGCGTGGGCCTTGAGCCAAATGGTTCTGGACATTACATGTACTCTTGCCAGGTCATTGCTTCCTGCCAGGAAGTAGCGTTGCTACACACCTCCTGACAACAACAAATCGATGCAACACAATGGCAGCAAAGTCCGACTCCGTGACATTTATCACCTTGTTGTCAGACCTGGACGCTGATGACGTTACACGGCCAGAGAATGCCCCATGCTTATGAGGCCACTCGGAGGGCAACTTACAGAGGCCACGCACGGCCGCAGGCAATTGTAAAACTTTACGCGAAGCCAACACGGACCACCAGCGGACAGCTGACAGAGGCCACGCACGGCCGCCAGCGGAAGCACAGCTTTACGCGAGGGTACAGAGGTCCACACATGCATGCACGCACACACCACAAGATGCTCCTCCTCGCTCAGTTCTGGCCATACATGCACGCACACACCACGAGATGCGACTGACATGAGCTCTCACATACACGGTGCGATGCGTACAAATGCCAGCCAGGCAAGAGCCGGCCCACGACTGTGAAGCACGAGATGTATACTACGCCACTATCCCCCGTCCTGAGGAGAGATGCCCCACGGCTGTGAAGTACGTGCAACTGCCTCGGCCTTATCCTCCTCCCAGAAGAGGGCTGCCCCACGACTTAGACGCACGAGTATCACCATTTGCCCATCCACGTACCTTCACGGAAACGTGCGGCCCCGCGACTGTGAAGCAAGCCTCCGCCCCCCTCAGACAATCAATCCTCCCAGTATTTGCCTCGGTGTAATGCGTGCAAATACGTGGGCCTCGGGCACGCCCACTTCCTACAGTAGGGGGGCCGGGCCATGAGAAACCTTCCGCAAGAAAACCCGACCCTGAGACCCCAGGACGCTCATTGATTTTCGGTGTGGGGACGTCACGCTTTCCACAGCAAGACCATCGCAACCCACGAATCCCAGGGCACCCTGGAACTTAGTGGGCCCTGGAAACGACAAGGCCGTCTTTTTACCGGTTCCGTTTTGCCGTTTTTTTGCCGGTTCCGACGCCGTTTCTTTACCGGTTCCATCGCCTTTTTTTGACCGGTTCCGGCTCCGGTTCCAATCCTTGAGCCGTTTTTTTGCCGTTTCCGGTGGCCGTTTTCTTGCCGTTTCCATTTTCAAGGCGCTTTTTTTTGGAAATGGTGAACAAACGGCCCTGCCGTTGCCGGGGCCCACAGAGCCCTGGAAACAAGCAGGGTGTTTCTTGGCATGGGTCTCCAACGGGGATGGACAGACCTCCCTTCAGTAAAACATGGTTCAGTGAAAACGATCTCGGGCCCAAACCCGGCGGGCGCCAAGCCTGGAACATGACGGCCGCGGCGCCCTCTCGAGAAGCGAAAGCGGACAATTCACGAATCGACGTGTCAGGGTAGGAGGTCTGTCCGCCCCCGAGAGAAGAGGAGGAGGAGGAGGAGGAGGAGGAGGAGGAGGAGGAGGAGGAGGAGGAGGGCGGAGGAGGGCGGAGGAGGAGGAGGAGGAGGAGGAGGAGGAGGAGGAGGAGGAGGCCACGGCACGCGCCCACTTGCCATTGCTGTGCCCCTGTGGTCGGAGGCCGTGGCGCTGCACACACGGGGGCCTCGCGCCTCGCCTTAAGCGAGCCCTGGAGCTCGGCCTCGGCCGCTGGCCGAGCCGCCAATAATGATTTAAATTCAAATTGATAACGATAACAATGTTACGAATAATAATAATAAGAAAAATAGTATTAAGAATAATAATACCAATAATAATACTACTAATGGTAACAATAATAATCATACGAATAACAATAATAATACTAAACATAATAATATTATTAATGGTAATAATCAAACTAATAATAATCATAATAAAGGGGACACAAAAAGTGGAACCCCTTCGTCTTCGGCCCCGTATGCGCCCCCCCCCCCTCCACCAGATTTCAGGGCTGGGCTCGGCCTCTCCGAGGCCCTGGGGGGTCCACTTTTTTTGTCCTCTCGCGCCTGTGCTGCCAAATGCCTGAGGCCAACTTTGAAATTTCGGGGAGGGGGGGGGGCGCGGCGTCGAGGGTTCCACTCGTTTGTCCATCGTTACGGTAGGAGTGGGGCATGGTGCGCGCGACTTGGGCGCGGCCCCGCCCTGGTCGGCTAGGTCGGCTGGGCCACCGGTGGGTCGCTGCTCGGTGGCTCCGGCAGTGCCGCTTTGGCCGCCGATGCACCCGTCTGGAAATCAGGGCTCCACCCTTCCCTGTGGAAGGCTTGAGGAGGAGGAGGAGGAGGAGGAGGAGGAGGAGGAGGAGGAGGAGGAGGATGAGGATGAGGATGAGGATGAGGATGAGGATGATGATGATGATGAGGAGGAGGAGGAGGAGGAGGAGGAGGAGGAGGAAAGGAGGTGGAGGATTACAGCAGGTCCCTGGGACAGCACCGAAGGCACAGCTGGGCAAGCGCACCCAGACGACGGCTGGCCCTCAGCAGCTTTTTCCTTGAGGGTCTTCGGGAGCGGATGCCCGAAAGTAGAGAGCCCCCCTGGGCCCCCGGAGGTCCAGACCGAGGGGGAATGGGCCAGGGCGTCCCAGCCATTGGGGGGCTTCTCGTCACGTAAGCGCTTCAAAGACTGGCGTCCCGAGGGGGTGATCTTACAGCCAAAGACCCTAACAAGGACGCGCGGTAAGGACGCCAGACCCTTGGAAGCCGAAGTTGGGATTTTTGGGGCGGCGGACGACGAAAACCCCAAGGGTACCCTGACAAGCGGGCAAGCGAAAGAGGCCAAGGACGAGCCGCAAGAGCAAGGACGAGCAAGGACGCAAGGGTACCCTGAGCAAAGTCGCGCGTCCTTATTAGGGTTTTTGACTGTATCGGTGCAGGCCTCTGCTAACATCATGAGCCAACCCCCAACCCGCGCCACACTCCCGAAAGGAACACGCGTCCAGCACCAGACAAGGCCATGCCTCGTGGCAACCGCATGCGATGGGTGGACTGACTTACACACAGGTCGGGGTGGCACGAGGACGGAGGTTCCAGCATCACTTCGAACTCGGAGCGTGGCATCACCCTTACAGCAGGATTTCCCAAACCAATCCATCGAGCAGGATCTAACAGGACCCCAACGGCACTCAGAACAAACCCAGCCCCGCTTAGCCACTCGGTCCATCTTATGGCCCGAGGTCTGCTCCAGGGCCACCGCTCTCCTCAAAGCCTCACCTCCTCCCTCGGGCGCCTCGCACGGGGTGCTGTCCTGGTCGGCAGCCTCCGAACCAACGTGGCCAGGGCATCCCCACTGGCCAGATGCTTAACCTGGGAGGAGATCCACGCGTGCGCCTCCTGGGCTCCCAGTTGGGCATGCGCGTCTGCTATCTCGTCACCGCATGAAACTACAACTCGCTGCCCAAGGCGCGCGTGCGACAAAGCATCCAGGTGAGAGCAACACTTTTGCAGTCTGATGTGGCCAGTGCGCGGGGTCCAGGTGCCTCCAGATCCCTCCTGGGCGCCGCGTTCGTCGGCCTCTCGGGCCGAGTCTGGCCGCAGCGACGAGGTGGGGTTTTTCAGGTCACACCCCTAGAGGAAGCAAGCGCGTGGAGGAATAGGAGGATAGAGGAGGGGAAAGGGAGAGAGGGAGGAAGCCGCCCTCCTCCTCCTCCTCCTCCTCCTCCTCCTCCTCCTCGTCCTCCTCCTCCTCCTCCTCCGTACTCCTCCTCCTGCTGTCCCCCTCCTCTTGGGCGGTGCCGCCGGCCTGGCCAGGCCAGGCTTTCAGCCACTCGACGAAGCGCGTGGAGGGGTAGGCGTCGTGGGCCTGCATGGTGACGGCGCGAACCGTCTCCAGCATCGAGGCTTCGACCTCCACGAGCCACAGCTCCTCGGAGGGGCGAGGCGGCCGAGGAGGGCTGGCAGAGGGCAGGGAGGGCGACCAAGCCGAGGGCGAAGGGATGGGCGAGGGCACGCAGAAGGGGAGAAGAGAGGAGGAGTGAGGGAGGAGGGAGGAGGGACGATACTGAAGAGAAAAAAGGAAGGGGGGGAATATTGGCATGCGTAAAACGGGTCCCGGTGGGAACGAGTGCCAGACCTGGGGCTGTCGCGGGACATATGCCACCAGCTCTCTAGGCGCAGGTAGTTTAGAGAGTGCGTTATTCCACAATGTTTTTTCGCTTCGGGGAGGCGCTCATCACTGCTCCGGATATTATGTGTATATATATATATATATATATATGTATACCCCCTCCCCTCTCCACCAGTCCCTAACCGGTGGCCCATGACGACCCCCCCCAACATACCGCTTAGCAGAAAGTGCAACATGCACTTTGCGGCAAGATCTCGATCATGCTCGGCCGACTCGCGATCACTTCAGATTGCCTTCTTGGCAGGGACGCTGGGGGTGTTAGAATCTGTTGCCGGGTCTGTGCAGGCCCACCACCACTACCAAAAACCTGTACAGAGCGCACGCTGCGGCAAAATCCTGAACTATGCACGGGCGCCCCGCGATCATGTGGCGGACTCTGCACGCCCTGAGCCCCAAAAAAACGTTTCTATCTCTTGGGGACGCATGCTGTACTTCCTCCGCCTTCCGCAAGCCTCCTCCCGGCTTCCGCCGACCTTCCGCTGGCGGCGCGGCGGCCTCGTCTCACTTCCGCCGACCTTCCGCCGCCCTTCCTTTTTTTCAAGCCACTGCGCCCAGGAGCCTTCAGGAAAGGACGCTTCGTGAGGGGCCTAGAAGAAAAACAACCGATATCGGCGCATTCGAGATCCTATATCGCGAACGATGGGCCCACGACGGGTGCGCGCGCAGCACGAGCGGAAAGGTCTCCGCCCCACTCCCACGCGCCCCCGCCTCTGCGGAGGCGGCACTGTGAGAGCGGCACCCGAGCCCCCTCTGGGGTCGGGGGGGCCGCTCCCCATCAAAACTCGCAAACTCAGGAGCACTAAGAAACTGAACAGAGAGGGAGGGAGGCAGGCGCGCGGGGCCTGAGGGACGGGCGACTCCCTGGCACGAACACGCTCCACCCTCGGAGCCTGTTGTACTGCATGCTGGTCGTCCCACACCCCGCGCTGAACGACTGCAGCCAGTCATCTAAAAGGGAGAGGAGGCCGACGAGCACGGGAAACGATAAAGATTAGATGATCCCATCATCACTGGACAAGACTGCTGAGTCTCTGGCGTTTAAACAAGTCTGGGAGGGTTCTACACTTAGAACTGGCCGAGGGGGTATCTACTTCTTCTTGGGCTTTTTGGCGCCCTTCGTCTTCTGCGTGTCGTTTTTTCGGAAGGCGAGCTCCTCTATCTGCTTTGCTACCTTGGACCTCTGACCGTAGTCGTGGCCCAGGAGGATTCCTGCTGCCTTGAGCCCGCCGTTGTCCCTGAGGGTGGACAGCGCGAGCTTGAGCTCGGGGTGGTAGTTGACGGCCCAGATCCAGCGCACCTGCTCCACGTCGCCCTCGGCCAGCTTCACCTTGAAACACCTCGTCGCGCGCACCATGATCTCCGTGTCCTTGGCGATCGAGCCCCAGCGCCGTAGTACCTCCAGCGCGTCGAGGGCCTTCTCGGGGTCGGTCCCGTTCTTCGCGGCCTCCTGCACGGGCTGGGAGCTGTTCTCGTAGGCTTCTGCCATGCGGAAGATCACTGTCCTCAAGAGTGCGTCTGGCTTTTTTCCCAGCGGGTGTCCCTTGAAGTTGTCGCCCTCGCGGGCGGATTTGCCCGTCGCTATGTAGTTCTGCAGGCCGTTTTCCAGTGTCATCTCGATCTTGGTGCCGACCTTGAGGGTGAGAGTGAAGTTGTCGTCCCTCGCGTCGGCCTGGTGGGCCGCTTCGTGCTGGAGGAGGAGGCGGCACATCAGGTTCGTGAGCTTGCCGTTCGGCGTCGACTCGCTGGACGCCGTGGTGCTGTCCTGAGCCTCGGGCTCCTGCCTCTTGACGCCTCCCTGGACCTCCGCGATCGGTACAAACATCGTCTGGTGGTGTAGGCTCGGGGGGTCCAGGAGCAGGTGGCTCAGGTGCCCGACTCGCAGAGGCTTGGGCCAACAGCGACGGAGTAGCTCGGCACCGTCCCATACGAATGTGGCGAACGAGGGTGTCCTTTCTGCTGAACTTAGTGGCGCACCGGGGGCACTTCAGGGACCTGAGCTGGTCATCTGTTAAGTCCGTGGGGTTGGCGTACTTCTTGTGGACCGAAAACATGTGGTTGTCTAGGCCCTTGGGGCCCTGGCACATCCTGGAACATATCGGGCAAGGCAGCAGGGCATCAGGTGGAGGGGCGATTCCCGCGGCTATCTTCTCTTCTTCCTCGGTAGTGGTACTTCGCACTCCTTTGAGTCGGGCCCTGGGGACGCAACACAACCAGCGGAGCCACGGGCGAGACGGGTACGGGAGCTCCTCATTCAGGCCGTGGGTGTCCCTGGCTTGCTGCTGGGCCTCGGGGGTGAAGGTCCTCCAGAGGTATCTGAGGTCGTCCAGAAGAACTCCCAAGAGCGAATTTATCTCCTTGTGCTTGGGTCCCTCGAAGTTGAATCGACCAAAAACCACCGCACGGACTAACTTCGTGGGGTCATACTTCGGGTCCTCGGGGGCCTCATCTGGGTTCTCCTGGGCCAAGAGCTCCTCGGGGGCCTCGTCTGGGTTCTCCTGGGCGCCGTTCTCCTGGGGGTCCTGCTGTTTCTGCGCGAGGTCGGGGAAGGCGGGGCGGAGAACTCCTTGCCACCACGCAAGCCGTCTCTCCAGCAGTGTAGAGGCCACTGTGTACACCCTGGTGCGCTGACGGATCTCAGAATTGCGCACATGATGTACGTGTGCTGGAGAGCGAGCAAGGAATCTCAACTTCCGTGTTTGCCAATTTTCAAGACGGGTGAGGTCACGCTTGGTAAGGACTGCGACTTCGAGGCCGTACAGAGCAGACGAGCGTACTAGAGAGCACCACAACCGAACTCTCAGTCGGACGCTGAACTGGCACTTGAACGCACGGCGAGCTAGGCGAGCATGGGCAGCATTTCCTCCCTGGATCCTGTGTGTAACTTCCTCTACCATCGAACTATCATCACGTTGCTTAGCTCCTAGGTACTTCACACTTGGGGTGGCGTCGATCAGAGTCCCATCCATGGTCACGTTGGTTTGTTTAGTCCGAATCGTGGCTTTCCGAACCTTACTTCGTCTTCCCGTGGTGACAATGAGCATTTCTGTTTTCGAGTCGTTAACTTTCATCTTCCCCTTCGTGATTTCATTCTTCAGGAATGACAGGAACCTCGAGATCGTTTCGAAATCCTCGACGATGGTGAACGCGATCAGGTCATCAACGAACTTTATGGGCGAGACTGGTAGGCATTCTTCCCCCTCATTTCCTGGGAGGAGGTGGAGGTGACGGGTTTTTTCCAACGTCGGGTCGAACACTACCGAGACCACGGTGAATTCAGACATGGCGTGGCTCTGCTCTAAGTTGGCGGTGAGCAGGTCGTAGACGGCGATGAACAATAGGGGTCCCTCCACGCTCCCCTGGCGGACGCCTCGGGAGATGAGCAGCTTCTTGATGGGGCGGTTGGTCCGTATGTCTCTGGCGATGTAGCACGTGCCTTCGTGGAGCTCCTCGACCGTCAATCTCACGTTGCGCCTGAGGGAGAGGCGCTCTAAAGCGTTCCAGATCTCATCGCGATCGACCAGGTCAAACGCCTTCTCAAGGTCAATGAGCACTGCGAGGAGCATGCCTGGGATCGCTGTCTTGCCGAGGCGGGAGGTGCGGCCATGAAGTCTGTATCGTCGGATCACCTCAGCAACGACCGCCAGGGCATCACGAGTGGAACGGCCTGCCAGGGCGCCGAACTGCGAGCTGGAGAATCTTGAGGCCAAGCTGCGCAGCGACGGCATGACCGTAACGTTCATGAACACCTTCCCGATGTGGTTGATCAAATTGATGGTGCGGTAGTGGTCCTTCGCGTTCTTGCCGTCGCCCTTGGGTTTCCGTAGTGAGACCGTTTCACCATCTTTGAAACGCTGGGCCGAGTGTCCAAGAGCCTGGCATGCGTTGAAAACTCCATGGAGCGCTGGCGCAGCTTCAGTCACCAGTAGCTTCCAAAGTTCGATGATGGACCCGTCATGCGTGCCCTGGTCGGGGAGGTCGGTCTCCGTGTCAGTCAGCTTGAGGACTGGTGCACTCTTGAAGTTGGGCATCTTGAGGATGGCCTTCCTGACGTCCTCCGGTGTGTAAGGGCCGATTCTGGAATCGTCGCGTGGAAGAAGTCCTGGGGGGGCACCAGGTACAGCCATGTCTATCACCGAGCCCTCGAATATGTTGCACAGGGCCTGTACTCGAACGTCAGCTTCTTCAGCGTCGTCCATACAGAGGCCACCAGACTCGGGGTTGTTGACCGTGACCGTGGGTGCGGCAGGCTTCGGGGCGAGGCGGCGGATGACGCTGTGGAGCTTCCGCAGGTTCTGGTTCGCGTCGGCCGTCTCCGCCTCCGTGGCTGTGTCGGCCAGTCTTTGTCGGCGTTCGGCTCGAACTGCTCTGGCTGCTTCACGATAGGCTGCGTCAAACTCGGCCTGCATGGCTGCGTAGCTGTCGGAATCCTGGTTGGTCATGCTGGCCATTCTGCGCTGGATACGATGCTTGCGGTCTATCAAGGCCAGGGTGGAGTCCTTCAGCTTGGGGCGGGTCAACTTCTGGGGCTGTAGAATGTAGTGCGGGGCCGCCACCTCAATCAGTGCGTGCTCCAAGGCATTGAAGTAGTCTGACGGGGTGGCGTATCTGCGTTCGTCACCGCATTCATCTGGCCACTGTCCAGACAGCCGCCGTTGTTCAAGGAGTGTCACGAATCTCGATCTCATATCCACAAGGCGTTGAGGGAGTTCGGCGTCGGGGTCACGGAGAAGGTTGAGGTC